TCGGATTCCTATTCCCTGGGCATAGAAGCAATGGAGCTCTTAATTAAATTCTCTCGTTAGAAGTCAAGCCTGAGGAAAACAAACAGAAAAACCTCTCCTAAGGGACCTGTCTCTTCCCGGCTTAGAGGCTCGATGCTGGAGATAGTATCGCTGGCCGCCCTCGGACATCCATCCCTCCCTGCTCCCAGGGAATTTCCTGTTAGCGCCTTCCCTGGTGTGGCCGCACCCCGTCTGGCCCAGAGGAAATTGCCATGAGAGGTGCCGTGGGGATGTTTATCAGGAGTTTCAGTGTGTGTTTCAGTTAGGAGTGAGTCTCTGGGCTTACGTCAAGGGGGAGAGGAGGAGAGAGGGGAGACTTCAAAGATGGAGAAAGGGTGGCAGGAGGTATAGAGATAAGGGCTCAGGGACCATGTGGGCACTTGGCCCCAAGGACAGCAGACACCTGATGACATGTACCTATCCTCCCTAGGTGACTTCCATTCTCCTCTGACCACACTCTAATGGACACAGGGAACCATGGGAAGCTGGAAAGAGCACTGGCCTTTGAGCCAGGAAGCCCAGGGTCTAGCCCAGATCTGTTAGTAACTCACTGAGTGACTGGTTAATCGTAAGCAGAACAAACTGTGTTGTGGGATTACAGGTGAAGTATTATGCTAAGCCCCATGCATGGAAGATCTTATTTAATTCTCACAAATTCATTCTTTTTTTCTTTTTCCAAAGAAACTGAGGCTCAGAGAGGTTAAGTGACTGACCCAAAGTCACACAGCTGATAAGTGCTATCAGAGCTGAGATTCAAACCAAGTAGTCTGGCTCCAGAGCCCAAGCCTCTAACCATACTCTCCAGTTAGTTTCTCCTCCTAGGCCTCAGTTTCCTCATCTATAAATAAACAGGATTGGTATACTTGAACTCCAAAGACCTTTCTAGCTCTGACAATCTGTACTTTATTCAATATTTTCAGTATTCACTGTATTGCCAGAGCCTGGGCTAGGAATGCAAAGCTAAGTAAGGCTTGACCTCTGTCCTCAGGTTTATAAACTCTTTGAGCATAGAAATAATGTCTTCATCATCCTTGCTGGCCCTGCACCACTTACCTACCAAGACTCTGAGCAAAGAGAAGGTGCTCAAAATACTTGTTGACTAGGTGTGTGACTCATGGGGAGGAGCTCGGGCTTGGGCACTTAGCTATAACTGAGGTCCCATCCTATTACTACTCTTGCAAGAGAAAGTCACTTAATCTCAGTGTCTATTTCTTCATCTAGTGGCAATACACAAGAGTAATTTCCCCATAGGATTACAGAGAGGATAATGTATGCTAAGCACTTACCATTGTGCTTGGCACACAAAAACTGCTCAATAACTATTGGTTCCTTTCCTTGGTGGATTCGCCATCCTTCCCTTCCCCCTTGTCACTAGCCCACGAGGGGCTGTGCTGTACCCCTCTTTGTTGTCCGTAGGTTGAGGCTGGGAGCTGATTTCTACTGCTTGCCCGGGCAGGTCCTGAGTGGTGAGGACAGAAGAAAACAAGAAGGCTGGGCTTCCGGTTCCCTGCCAAGCTTTCCCCTGGATTCTGATTCCCATGCAGTCCGTGCTCCTCCCTAGTACAGATGTCCCGTCTGTCTAGACAGCTCTCCCCTGAAGACACTGCAAACCACAGACTGTTTGATGACAAAGCTTGCTGCAGACATGAGTCCCCTGATACACGATTCATTCAAACCTGTTCAGAAAAGGGCAAACCTGATTCCCACCTCCCAAGCAAGGGGGACTCTGGTGGGGGGACAGGAGTGGCTGGGTAGCTTCTTTCATTAATTTATCCATCTATCTGTCCATCCATCCATCCATCCATCCATCCATCCATCCATCCATCCATCCATCCACCCATCTTTGGTTGAATGCCTACCATGGGCCAGACCCAGTGCTAGGCATGGGGTACACCTAGCTGAATATCCCCTACCCTTCTCAAATTCATAATTTTGGGGAAGATGCATAAAAAATAATTGTGAAAGGTGTGGCATCCCAACTACAATCATCATGACAGGGAGCATTCACGGAGGGCTTACTCTGTGCCAGGCACTGTGCTATGTACTATGTACTTCAGATGCGTGACTTTAAGTTGGCCCTCAGCATAACCCTTTTTACTACGATTGTGATCATTTTACACATGAGCCAACTGAGAGTTTAGATCACTTGTCCAGGGTTGCACAGCTACCGAGAACTCAGGATTCAAACTCAGTCTGATCGCTGCGTAAAGCAAACCCCCACTCTGCCATTGGACCTCCAAGGAGGGAACCACCTCTTCCATTCAGGAAGAATGGGAGGGACCCCATAAAGAAGGAGATTTCAGAGCTGGGCCTTAAGAGACGAGTCATGGTAGAACAAGGAGATCTCAAAGACTCTAGAAATGAGGGGAATCTTGACCAATGAAGATGAGGGTCAGAACTTTTCAAATGGAAGGAAAAGCCTGAGCAGGTTTGAGAAGGCAGCACATACAGTGTGGGAACCGACTGGGAAGAGCCTGGAATGCCAGGATAAGGGAGTTGGCACCTCTTCAGGAGGGAGTGGGGAGGGACTGGAGATGTCTGGGCAAGGGATCCACGTGTGCTGTAGGAAGCCTGTCTAGTGAGGCACGGAGGATGGTTTGGAGGGGTAGGAAGCCGATCAGGGGCCTTCCCCAAGGTTTTGTGATTGTGGTAGCAGGGATGCAGATTGTGATGGAACTGTTGATGATGCCCACGTGGGTGTGAGAGTTGAGGGTACCAGAGACTGCCAACTTGCCCTGCCCAATCTTGCCACTCCCTTACTCAAAGCCCTTCCCTGGCTCCTGTGGCTCTCAGAATAAAGCCCGGGGTTCCTCACCTGGCATTCAAGGCTCTTCATGAGCTGGCTCCTTCCTGCCACTGCAGCCTTACCTTGACCACTCCCTTCCCCCCCTTGCCATATCTACAGACCAATTCTCTCTTTAGCCTCTGTGCCTTTACACATGCTGTTCCCTCTACCAGGGAACTTCTCTGCTTCCCTTCCCTCTTCTTTGCTCAGATGCCTCCTACTCACCCTTCAAGGCTCAGCACAGGGGTTGCCCTTGCTCACCTTCCAGGTGGGGCATGTTCTCAGGTTCTGAGTCCCTTAAGCCTCTGCTCCCTCTGTCCCTTCCCCCAAACTGTGCTGTGCTTAACTGTATGTAGGGGGTTTTCTCTCCTGGACTGTGAGCTTCCTGAGAGCAGGGACTGTGCTCAACACATTCGCTGGGCTAGGGTGAGGGCTGAGAGGCTGAACCCTTTCCAGCAGACTCAGCTTTTTCCTTAAACCAATTTCCCAGTGGCATTTACCATCTTGAACTGCTTTTGTTGTTAAATGATGTAAGTTTCATCAGAGGGCGCTAAGATGCTACACAAGGTTTGCCCTTTCTCCTTGGGCTGTGCAGACAGGACCCCTTCCTCCTCTTGGACTGTTCACCTTGGGGCATCAGCAGCTGTATCTATTTTGGGAAATGCCTGCATTTGCCATTGCTCAATCATTCCTAGTTCCTATTTGGGAAGAGAGCCCAGGGCCTGAGTAGAGTGGAGAAGGCCAAGGTGTGGCTGCCGATGATAACTGCCTGTCAATTTGCCAGTGATTGATTTGCCTGGGATTTGCACTAACACAAAAAGAACTTTTGCATTATTAATGATCATTGATCGCAGCCTCCCAAAAAGAGAGATTGACAGAGATGACGGCTCCAGGCCAATCATCAACTGGTAACCTGGGAAGCTGAGGTGTGGAGAAGGGAGGGAAAGGCCAGGTGAGTAGGGAATTTGTGGAGCAAAAAGAGTCAGAAGGAGCTGGCTGAGTTTTTGGTGTGCCGGGTGGCAAACAGCTGTGTGGGCTACAGATAAAGCAGCAGCAGCAGCAGCGGAGGTGGGTGCTGCTGGCCTCTCCTACATCCAACTAACGAGAGACTTCACGACAAGAGCTTTTGCCAGGGTCAGGGTCACTTCACAATAATAATAACAGTAATAAAAGGGTCAATTCATTAAGAAGGTATGATCTTAATGGCAGATGCATCTATTAACAAGGCTTCAAAATACACGAAGAACAAGTAGACAGCAAGCCTGTGAGGGCTGAGAAGGCCAGCTCCACCAGAGCCTCATGAAACCTGGACATGGGACGTGTCCAGCGCTGTGCCTCTTCCATGGATGTTTCGCATTGCTCCTCTTCGTGCTCAAGTCTATTCTCAACCATGGTTCCCTGGAACCAGGTAAATTCATCCCAGCACCCCCAACACCTGCTGGAACCTGGGTGGTCGTCTCCCCCCAATCTGCTGTTTGAATAAGGGACCTGCCCTTTCCCCTGCCTCTCTGACCTCACCTATCATTCACTCAGCCCCAGAGCCCTTTGGTCACTGCTCCCTCAGGGGCTTTGCTGGTAGCTCCGCACTTGGAAGCTGTTTCCCCACATTTCTGCAGGGCCCACTCCCTCACCTGTCTTTGCTCTGATGCCACTCTCTCAGCGAGGCCTCCGCAGACCTCCCTGTTCAAAGCCCCCACCCACTCTTTTCTTCCTCTGCTTTATTTTCCTCTATAAACAGTTGAAAGTTTTACTAATTACATTCATGTAAGCTCCTTTGGGTCCACATGTTTTGTCCCTAGAACATGCCTGGCACATAGTAGATCTATAAATATTTATTGAAGAAATAAACCCAACTAGGGATGAACACGGGACAGGGAGAGCCGAGGCTTTCACCAAGGGTCTCTGGGCATGGCCCACCTCTCACCACCCCCCTACTCCGAGCCAGTCCACATGCTCTCCTACCCGTGGGGACCCGGGAGCCCTGGGGCTGTGGCGGCGGCGAGGTTGAAGGTGGGGACTCGGAGCTCCTGCAGGACTGGAACTGAAGGGGCCGAACCTCACTCCAGACTGGCGGGGGGCCGAGTGGGGAGGGAGCCTGGCGGGGGAGGCGCTGGAGGAGTGGAGCGAGGAGGAGCAGCCGGCGCGGGAAGGGGCGGAGGGAGTGCGGGAGCGCGAGGGCGCGGGCCAGGGGAGGGCCCCGGGGCAGCCGGCGGGCAGGCGGCTCTCGGAGCTCGGTTGGGGTCGCGGTGGAGATGAGGCGGTCGCCGGTGGTGAAGACGAGACGCGGTGCGAGGAAGCAGGACCCGGGAGGGCGAACCAGGGGCCCGCACCTGCGTGGCCGGAGCGGGTAAGCGCTCGGAGTCGAGTGCCACCCGGGGAGGGGCGCGCCGGGGCCTCGCGCGGTATGCAGTCCGACCGCTACGAAGGTGCTGGGGAGGGAAGGGTGCGCCCGGGCTCTGGCCTCGGTGACCCGGGGCGTCCCACCTCTCGGCGCCTTTGGACGAGAGGTGTGCGCGGGGAAGAAGGTTCCAGAGGACCAGCCCAGCCCGAGGGGAGCGTCCGGGGGCGCCGTCCGGAGCCCCGGGATGGAGGGTGGGCCAAAGCAGCGCCCAGAAGCTGCTGCGGGGTCCCGGGCGCGTGTTCGGGGTGCCCTGCGCAAAAGCGACATCTGGCAGGGCGGGAGGCGCACCCCCCCACCCCCAGCCGGGGGCTGCGACGCCCCCTGGTGCCCCCAGACAGCCGAGGGAAGCCGAGCACTGCCCCCTGCCGGCCAGGTCGGTATGCGGCGCAGCGCGGGGCAGCCCCTTTCTGGAGGGGAGTTGGAGGAGCTAGCGTCCAGCATGAAACCTCAGGGCTTCAAGCCCAGCGGACCGTGACTGGCTTTGTGACCTTGGGCAGGTCACTGCATCTCTTCGAACCTAAGTTTGTACATCTATCAAACGGAGAGGATTCTTCTCCCACCCTGCAAGATCCGTGGGAATAAATGAGATGCTGAATGGATGCCTTTTTATAAATTATAAAATTCTGTACAAATCCTAGCTAATCATGTAATGTCAGAATTGGAAAGGGCACTAAGAAATATGCTTTATTGGGAGAGTGGTAATAAATCTTGCCCAAGGTTACACTGCTTGTACGAATATATAAAACTAAAGTCCCCTGCCTCTCTAGCTCTGGGGAATTTCAAGGATTAACAGTGGGGGCTGTCAGTCAGACTAGCTGTATTAGCAAACCAGGCTTGGCTATTTTCTAGCTACGTGAGCTTGGGAAAGCCCTAATTTCTCTGAGCCTTGGTTTCCTCCCATGTGAAATGGGGATAAGAATGCCTGCCTCATAGGCGTGCTGTGCGAATCAGATGGGGTCGTTGTTCAGCGGAGGACCTGGCTGGGAACAAGGGCGCTGTCATTAGTGGCCATCCCTGCTCTGGTTAGTAGGAGCAACCGCTCAATCTCTTCCTTGGACGCGGCCTCCACTGTTTTCTAAACGAGCACACATTGTGGGTCTGTGCTCTCCCCTGCACTGCACAGCCACTGGCCGGGGTCTCAGCCTCCCTCCCAAGGACACTGAGGGCCCCTTTACTGACAGCAGCAAGCAAGGCCAACTGGGCAGCCGGACCTTCTCCAGCATTTGGTCCTATCCAACTGGTGGAGAGAAATGGGTGGTCTTTGCTATGGAGACACTCTGGAAGCTAGGACCTAGGGGGTGGCAGAGGAGCGAGGGGTCTGGCCAGCTGGACATAACTGGTAGGGCCTAGGGCCTCCTCCCCTCCCCCTGGTGCCTACTACAGGGCCAGAAACACAGAAGTGCCTTCTTAGAGTTTGTCAGTTTCCTGATGGATAAATAGTGAGGGTGAGTACACTGAATCATCCCTTCTTTCCTAGGCCATAGATGGATGAACGTTCGTTTTGGTGACAGTAATGTGAGTACATGCAGAGACACAGATTCTCAGAGCTGAGAGTTCCCAGAACCTGAGAGGTCCCTCTCATTGCACAGATGGCTCCCCTCTGAGGCCCACAGAGGGGCAGGGGTCTGCCCAGGTCACCAGTGTCCTCCAGGAAGCTGAATTCAGACACTATTCAGTCTTTAACTTTCTCAGCAGCAGCTGACACTGCAGCAGACACTGTTCAGTCTGTAACTTTCTCAGCAGCAGCTGACACTGCTGACCACTCCTTTCCTCTGGAAACACTCTCCTGTGGCTCCTGCAATTCAATACTGTCGGGTTTTGCCTCCTGCGCCTCTGTGGTTATTGCAGGTTCATCCTCTTTTCTATAACCATTAGCTCCTCTGCTCTCCCAGACCCTCCTCTCTTCTCCTAGTAGACACTCACCCTGGATAGTCTCATCCATCCCATTGGCTTGAGTTACTACCTCTGTGCATACGACCTCATAAATGTATGTCTCCAGCCCAGAACTCTCCACAGGCTGTGGACTCATCTATTTATTGTCAGCCAGGCATAGGCCCTGGGGCTACAGCGATGAGCTGGACAGACGTGAGTGTTGGGAGTAGGGAGACAAGCAATAAACAAACAAGCAGAAAATACCAGAAAAGTGCTAAAATGAGCATCAAACAGGATAATATGAGAGAGGATGAGAGCTACTTTATGTTGGCTGGTCACAGCTTTGCCTAAGAGGTGATATTTAAGGGGAGCAGCTGGTAACAGATGAGGTCAGAGAAGTGGCTGGTTGGGGGTGGGGCAGCAAATATAAGACCTTGGAAGCCATGGTGAGATTTTGGATTTTATTTGAATATGGGAGCCATTGGAGAGTTCCAAACAGGAGAGAGGGAATGCAGCTATTTCTCCAGGGTTCATTTGAGCCCTAGGAAAGAAGTTATTCTATATTGATTGCAGCATACTGTGTGTGCTCTGGGCACTGGGGTAGAGGGTGCAGGAGGAGAGGAGGTGCATAGCTCCTCAAGGAGCTTCCAACCACAGGCAGTAAGAGGCACAAACAAACCTGGAGTCAGAAGAGGGTTTAAAGGAGGGAGATTTTTGCATCCGGTTGACCAGGGAAAGCTTCCTGGAGGAAGTGGCTTTTGAGAAGGGCCTCAGAGAACACAGACCAGATTACAATAGATGTGTATGAAGGGGAATGGGAAAGATTGCTCTTCCAGGCAGAGGGCAATCTTTCAGCCTGAAACAAGACACAAATGCCCCAAGTGTGTGTACAGAAGTCAGGGAAAAGGAGACAGAACCTGTAGGGGAGTGAGAGGTCAGGCTAGGGAGGGAGTCTGGGCTCTTCAAAGCAAGGCCCTGGACATGGCCACTTACTTGCTGTGTGACCTTGAGCCAATTGCATTACCTTTCTGAGCCTCAGCTTCCTCATTCATGAAAGGAAAGTAACTGATTCAATGCTGAGTAAGAGAGGGAAGGAGGGAGGATTGCGAAGGTTGGGGGATGGGTAGTGAGGACAGGACTGCCCACCAAGGAGGAAACAGGAGGGACAGGTGTGGATAAGGAAGATGGTGGCTCAATTGAGGTTGGGGCCCCTGTGGGACATCCAGGAGGGATCACCAAAGGATATTTGGGGCCAGAGGAACAGAGAGGGGTGTCAAAGGTAAAACTGCCAGTGTTCAGCTTTCATTCATTCTTTGAGTAAATCGTTACCGAACCACTGTAAGTATTAAGCCCCAAACATATAGCTATGAACACAACCAGGTCTCTGCTCCAGGAATATACCATTTTGCGGGGACAGAGCCACCCAGCATTGGCCTGAAGGATGGTGAGAGACGTGCATGTAAATTATAAACATGAGGCCCTGGTCGGACAGAGGAGAAAGGCTGACCCCACATGGTGGAAGGAGTGGACATGTTTCAGCCAAGAGCAAACAGTGGAATTGGATCCTGAGGGTGAAGCTGAGGGAAAGATACCCTACACAGAGGGCACAGGGCTTCAGACACATGCCTCCCTTCTGGAACTCAAGTCCAACAGGGAGACAGGCCATCAGCAAGCGAGCGTAGTCGAGGGGAGTCCAGTGTCATGCATGATAGGGAAACCAGTAGGGTGGGGAGGAGGAGGGAGTGATCACTACCATTCCTAGGGCCTGGAGGAACCTCAAGCAGGTTGGAGGAGATAAGAGGAAGGGCATTCTAGGAGAGGGAACAGTCTATGCAAAGGTGCAGAGGACTGAGAGAACCACAGTGTTTATTTTTTAAAGATTTTTATTGGGGAATTGGGGGGATGGGAACAGTACTGGGGAATTGGGGGAAGGAGAACAGACAAGTTGCTGTCCTTTTGTTCTTCAGTCTAGTTGTGGAGGACGTTG